ATTTAAAGTATAATTAAGTCCTTGCACTTAATTAAATCCTTCATTTGGACCTAAATTAATTCTTAAGCATAATTAAATTTTAATTTGGCCCATGATTAAATCAAATTGGCCTATTAAAAATTTAATTATGTTATTGGACTTAATTTTTATGCAAATTTGTCCAATAATCATTTAATTTGACCTTTGAATTTGTATTTTTCTATTTTTGGGCATAATAGGGTACAATTAGGCCTTGAAATTCCTCCCAAAATTGCAGCTTTATTTTTACCTAGTCTTTCTAGATTAGTTTTCCCCACATTTCTAGCCTTTATTTTATTTTTTGATTTTTATTTTTTAAAAAGTGGATTTTAGGGAATAACCCAGAATTGGGTTATGACATAAGGCATATGAAGAACATTAAATAATGTAAAGATGCGTTTTAGGGAATGTAAAATAGTATGTCCAATATATGATATGTCAAGGCCTTACCATCACTAATATACAAATGATCATTACTATGATAGGTTGCAGAATCGGTCAGAGTTGCAAGATCAAGTATGACATGTTGATTTATGCTGGTGTCGAGGAACAAAGTCACGACAGAGACATTCCTAATAGCAAGGTAAGTAGAAGGTTATTGGGAATTGCTGAGAAATTAGGGAGAATATGGAGCTGTATGTTCGAAGTTGGAGCACAATTGGCAGCAAACATGTTGCTATCTAAATCATTGGGTAGCCCTTGCATTGTGCCTATTCTGCTGCCAATTGATTGGTCTCCAATCAACAACAGAGTGACCCCTTGGCTAGTGGTTGTAGCGAGTGTTATGGGGATGCTAGTTGCCACTAGAACGACCTTTGTTACAACTAAAATTTAGGCTGTAATGAGAAATAGCAAGATGAGCAGCGGGTTGTGGTGTTGACGACAATGGTAGCTGCTGCGGCACAGAAGAAGACAACAGAGAAGGAGTGACATCCTTGGAATGAAAGGAGTTCTTATACAAAAATTTATGGGTAAGAAGATGGTTGTGAAGATCAGCAAATAAGAATGGTTCTGCCTTAGTTATAAGACTCATTACCAAGTCTTTAAACTCACCATGAAGGCCACAAAAAACATAGAGATTGAAGTCTTCAAGAGACATAAAGCGACCAACAGCAACCAAATCATCAAATAACAATTTAGTTTGCTGCATGTATATACTAACCGGTAAGTCTCCTTGCCAAATATCTCAAAAGGAGCTAGAGAGTTGCAAGATGCGAGAATTAAATAGAGACACAAGCGCTTTTTCAAGAGTGCACCAAAGATAATACAGGGTAGAACAATCTACCACGAGATGCTACATATCCATAGAGAGAAAAGAGAGTAATGCACTAAAAAATAACTGATCTCGTTGCTTCCAATAAAGAAAAGAAGAGTTGATTGTAAAGAAAGAACCAGCAGAACTGTCAGAAACATAAGATGGAGGGCACAACACTGAGCCGTCAATGAGATAATTTGTGTTCATAAGTTTCAATAAAACAACTTGGTAGGTGTTAGAGAGAGCAATCATAGCTGGAGTTTGTGTTCCCATAATGTGCAAAGGAATGGCAGAAACTTGCAAGAAGGAGTCATTGATTTGTTTTACAAGTGAAGGCTGTTGTTGGGGGAAGAACACCACCACTAGAAGCTGGTAGATGGCTGGTCGACGGGGCTGCACCACTAGTGGTAAGGAAGAAGTTAGATACAACGGTTGTAGAGTCCATTAAGGAAAGGAGGGATGGCAGTCGAAGGCTCTCATACCAAGTTAAGAATAATTAGGAGGCTTAATATATTAGTTAGCTAATCCTTTCTATACATATGTATATGTCAATACACATTAGTAATGATGGAGATTACCATACAAGAGTATGACTATAATATTTTCTATATACAATATTTCCTATATAGGTGCATTATATCATAGGGTAGGAAAAGGAGTGTAATGTTAGAGATAAGTGGGAAAAAAATATTATTTTGCATAGATTCAACAAGGTGCTTATAATTTTTTTAAGTGAAAGTAATTATTATTGTTGTTTTTGTTGAATACTATTGATAAAAACAAGGGTTCGAAAGGTATTTTTTTATTGTCAAACAAATAGCTTTCTTATTGTCAAACAAATAGATCAGTTCTGTCTATTTTGTTTATTCATTTTTTGTTTGTAAATAGTACTAAATAGTCTTATATATATTTGTTCTAGTTTGTCATCCTTTTAGGGCACTACCACTTTTTTTAATAAAATTCTTCTATTATTGTAAAAACAAAAAAAAAAGTTAATATTATTGTTATTGTTTATCTTATTACTATTGTTATTGTTATGATCGTTATTATTCTAAAAGGATTTGAAAGTGTGATAACGATTATTTTTTAAAGTATTTTTTATTTAAAAATATATTAAAACAATTATTTTTAATATCAATATATTAAAATAA